GGTAGGTGGGTTGTCAAGGTAACAGTGACCTGCCCTCCTCTGTGACATCTTTTTCAATTCTGGCTTAAAGGTCACAAACCAGAGGTGTCCAGTCCAGGAGTCAGGAGTGGTAGGAGCAGTCTGAAAGTGTGTCCATGGGTGTGTGCGAGAGGAGAAGAGGATTTATATTTTGTTTTTGGTATTTACACATTTTCATTCATCTTTTTATTTAATGCTTCGCAGAGCCATGTATATTTTCAGACTGATATTTAGGGATAGGGGTTGGAGTAGCTTAGGTGGGTTTTAGGGAGGTAGAAAACATAGGTTGTGGTTATGTGTGTTAAATTACCTTTCTACAGAGAAACTTTATAATGTCAAAAATGTAAGTAGGATATCACTGGGTTAAAGATTTCACTTGAAAGCTTGCCATGTATTACATTATATAAATAAAAGCATTGCATTCGTTCCTTGACATGCAAACAAAGCTGGATGGCAAAGTTGGATGAAGACTATTGCGGACAGCAGATGGCCCTGTTTTCAAATACATTTCTACAGGCACTTAACAAAACACAGTTATTTCTCTTTGGCTGATTTTTCACAGTAATGACTTTACCATTTGGCTTTCGATTAATTTTTTGCAGAAAAAGAAAAAGAAAAGTGTCCTCATTTGCAAAGCTGTTTGCATTCTAATTATGTAAATATTCTAGAGAGATGCTACCAATATATAGAGAAGCCAGTCCATGAAACAGCCCCTGGTGGTCTTGCCCTTGTGGGTGAGTCGGAACATTGGCTGAGGTTCTCCTGCGCAGATAAACAAGTTTCCAGTTCCAAAGAGATGAAATGTGCCCACGTGTATTCCTTGTGAATATTAGGAAAATACTGTGTTCCGTCTACATTCCTATGCTCTTCTGTTCTTCTTCTCTTTGGCGATCACTCGTAGCCAAGTAAGATTGTCTTCCATGAACACGGTCTTAACAGTGAGTCCATAAGTAACTGTGGAGTCCAATTTTGGATCCACACGTCCTTCCACAGTGGGGACATAGATTTCCGGGTGGGAGTTGATCATGATGAGGGTTTGCCAAGCATGCTTTCCTCTTAGCACGTTTCTCCCTTTCATCATGAGTTTGAGCGTCTTCAAAGCCCGTGACACCTTTGGTAAAAGGCTGTTCCCATTGGATTGCTCGCAGGCCAGTGTTTCCCAATTGTTGGTGTTTATACTACATTTTTAAAAAAATTGCCTTGAGACAGTCTTTGAACCTCTTTGTTGACCACCAGCATTTCGCTTTCCATTTTTAAGTTCGGAATAGAGTAGTTGCTTTGGATGATAATCAGGCATCCGAACAACATGACCAGCCCAATGAAGTAGATGTTGAAGAATTGTTGCTTTGACATTGGTGACCTTTACTTCTTCCAGTACACTGGCATTAGTTTGCCTGTCTTCCCAAGTGAAGGGTAAAATTTTTCGGAAACACCGTTGATGGAATCTTTCGAGGAGTTGGAGATGGCGTTTAGAAGTGGTCCACGTTTCAGAAGCATACAGTAAGGTTGGTAATTTGATAGCTTTGTAAACAGGCATTTTGGTTTCCCTGCAAATGTCCCAGTCCTCAAACACTCTGCACTTCAATCGGGAGAAAGCTGCACTTATAGAGCTCAGGCGATGCTGGATTTTGGCATCAAGGTTGGCCCTTGTGGAAAGATAACTGCCCAGGTAGGAGAAGTTTATTTATGCATACTTTCCTGAGAGCAAGTCCCATTGTATTGTCAACAAAATAGAGTCAGAAAAGAACAGCAGTGGAACAAAATGATGCAGAAATAATTAGGTGGTAGAGTATAAAGTATAAGACATTCCCACACAATGGTGTTTTATATTGAATGTATTAGCTGTAAGCAGTGCTTTAATCTGCTGCCTGACCTCTTTTGACAATTCTTCTAGCTTCTGTAGATATAATTTGGCTAAAATTGGTGGCCGGGAGTCAGTTGGTGTAAACTTATGTAAGGGCTCCCTCGAGCAATGCCTGTTGGAATGGCTGTCCAGTTAGGCAGCTAGTTTTGATCAGAATAACTTTATAAAGTACAAGAAGCCTATATTTCAGTATGGTATCCCATTTGCATGAAATCTACTGTGCCAAATCTTATGGATGCTATCTGGCCAAACAGAAAATTCTTATGAAGGATGACTGAATTATAGCCGTTCAAAAATGTTGTGTTCGTGTGTGTGTGTGTGTGTGTGTGCCCATCTGTGGAGAACCATCCCAAGGGCTGCATTCCCTCATGGGCAGCTTTCTGAGGACCACATGCCAGTAGTGGTCTGGGCAAGGGGCAAAAGTGAGTGAAGCAATGGAAGTGATTTTTAAATTTTGCCCACTCCTGCCATGCAAAACTCAGGTGTTTCTGCATTCTCACATCCATCCATTCTCCACCAGGTAAGCAGGAGGCATTATCATAGTTCAAGGACACTGGCAGAAGCACTTGAGGAAGATGTAATGAGGTTCCTCACCTCTGGTGTAAATTATATTTAAAACAGAAGAACGTGAGTCTTCTTTTTGCTGATTTAGTGTAAATCTGTTGTGTAATCCTAAAGTTTCATGGTATCCATTTTAATTGGTGATTAAGCTCAGTGCAGCTTATTCAGCTATGCACATGCGCGTTTCCCTGACGCAGAGTGATCTGGATGTGTTTGTGAAATAATTATAATATAATAATTTATTATTTATACCCCGCCCATCTGGCTGGGTTTCCTCAGCCACTCTGGGCGACTCCCAAAAGAAGACAATATGTGCTGCTTCTATGTACGTTTGCTTGTAATTTGCTGCTGTGTGCTGCTTTTGATGTGCATTGTGCTCATATTTTCAGAGCCTACTTCTGCCTGTCCTTGTCCATCATTTTTGCTGCTGCTGGTGTTGGTTCGTGTACTACAGCTGCTCATATTAGCTTAAGTGGTCTTCCTGTCTCTTCCATTACATGGCATTGCTATGATGTGCTACTGCATGTTTGCTCATGTGCCTGGTTGTAAGCAACAAGCTGATGCCTGGCAGTATATTCATTCACTCATGATTGTTCTCTTACCTCTGTTTGCCTGTGTAGGGCCATGCTGTTGTGCTTCCTGTGTTTGTTTGGCCTGACGCACATTGCTGCCCATGTTTTCTTGTGGTGTGCTAATGCCTATCTTTGCCTATGACATTCTGATGCCTTATTATTATTATTATTATTATTATTAGCCTTTGTTGATCCATGATGCGCTGCTATCAATGTACGAAAGCCCATGTTTTCTTTTGTGTAGTGTTTGCCCAAGATGTACTGCTCTCCATGTTTCTCATTGAAAGATCTACCCAAGTTTTCTTGTGGTGCCCATTTACCCTCTTTTGCTTATGACATCTTGCTAACAACATTCAGACCTGTTGCCCATGTTTGTCTGTGTCATGTTGCTGCTTATTATGCGCTACTGATTCTCATGTATGTCTAGGATGTGCTGCTTCCAGTCTTGTCTAAGATGTGCTTCTTCCCATGTGGGGCTGCCTTTGTGTGTTCTTGCAAGAAAATTCACCTCTTGTTGCTGAATTTCCATTGCAAGAGAGTTTTACAGTATTAGTAGTCTGCTTTCGCTGTTAGTTTGGACGGTATTTTAGCAATTTTGGGTGGGCTGCCTATTTCATCAGTTGCTGGTCTCCCGCTTTATGAGCATTTTTATTGAATGGTATTTCTGCATTTTATGGTAAGCTGCCTTAAAAGAGCTTCCTCTCAAAGGAGGCATAGAAGCATTTGAACTATTTTTGTGTGTGCCCAGAGTCTTGTTGTCTACATGTGCTGATCTTGCCCCTGTTTATCCAAGTTTGGGAGTGACACAGTACTGCCCATGGTTAGTCTGTGGACTAAACCACAGAGTCTCTTGAGCTTGCCGATCAGAAGGTTGATGGTTCGAATCCCTGGCAGTGGGGTGAGCTCCCATTGAAATGTCAAAATGATTGTAAAATGAGTGAATTGTATAAACTTGACAAGTATAAACAAAAAAACAAAAAAACTTGACAAGTATAAAGTATATCAGGAAGAGTGGATTAAATTTAACGATTACTTAGTTAAATATGTTAAGTTAAATTAACTGAAAACAGCTTGCAGATACTTAATTGGCTTAGGATTTTATTTATGTTAAGGGATGAATTAATATGTTTAATTTCATAATGTGAAGATTTAAGGATGTTAATGTTTAAATTAAATTTTATAAGAACTGTGATTTGGGAAACCGTTAAAAGGATATGCAATGAAATTCAACCAAGGGGAAGTCAGGAAGTCACTTAACAATGTTAATACGGTAAGTGTAATTTTTAATAAAGCTATGATTTATGTTTGTTTGTATTATGTGTTTGTTTGTTTGTTTGTTTATAATGTTGTGAAAACCAATAATTTTTTTTGAAAAAAAAGACAAGTATAAACAAACGACAAGTATAAATAAAAAAATAAAAAGACTTCTTAGTTTCCCGCCATCGACCTGAAGGAACTCGAGGCAGGAGGGCGTCTCCCCCACTCCCGCCTCCGCCCCGCGCATGCGCAAAGTTGGCCGCGCGTGCTAACAGGCTCCGCCGCGACGGGGCGGGCCGAGAGATTTCGCCTTCGCCTCACGACCTCAGGCGGCGACACCTGTTCCTCAGGCTAAGCGAAGCGCGGCGGCGGCGGCGGCGGCGGCGACATTGGCATTGGTCGTCCCCTCGCTTCTCACTGCCGCGCCCGGGACGGAACTTCCTCGGCCGCCTCCGCCTCAAGTTGGCTGTGGGGCAGCCTCCGCCGCCGGCCACCTGCGCTCAGCCTCGGCCAGGGAGGAGCCGGGAGAGGCGCGAGTCCCGTCCCCCCCCGGAGGCGCTGGTCGCCGGCTTGGCTCGTTTGTCCCCTCCGGCGCCCCGTCAGTTATCGCAGCCGCCTCAAGAGTCGCTTCGCCTCAAGCCGGGCAAAGTTGAGGCTCCGGAGCGGGAGTTGTCGCCGCTCGGACCGGGCTCGGGAGGAAGCGCCATGGCGCCTCTGGCGAACGGCCTGTAGGGGAGCTGGGCTTTTTTGGGGAAAGGAAAGAAGTCGCTTCGCTCCGTCCGTCGCGGAGGAGCCTGAGGAGACGAGTCCGCCCGGCTCCGCTTATAGCAGGTGAGGGACTGGCGAAGGCGGGAAAAGCGCAGGTGCCTCCGCCGCTCGCTTCGCGCCTGTCCGGAGGGGGAATCGCGGGTTGGGAGAAGACCCCAAAGAAAGGGGGAATCCCCAACCCCACCCCGCACACGGGTATCGCTTGCGGAACTTTAAGGCCCCCCCCCACTCGATCGTCTGAACAGAGCCGCGGACCGACGCGGGGACGCCACACACACACAAACGCGCATCGGTCCGGGGCTCTGTTCAGACGATCGTTTGGGGGCTTGGGTGGTACTGCTGCTGCCGCCGTTCATGCGCACGGGAGCTGTCCGTTGAAGGTCAGGCGACGGGGCGTACACGGGTATCGCGTGCGTAACTTGAAGACGATGCGCGTGTGTGTGGCGTCCACGCCTCGGTCCGGGGCTCCGTTCAGACGATCGGGTCGGGGGTGGGGGATGTTGGGAGTGCTGCGGCCGTTCACGCGCACGGGAGCTGTCCGTTGAAGGTCAGCCGACGGGGCGGAATTGGGCTGGGGGGGGGGGGAGCTACGGTTCGGGCTAAAACTATGCCGGCTTCCCCGAGCCTTGGGCGGTTGGTTGTCTGAATGAGGCTCGTTTGGACCCGTCGGGGGAAACGCGGTAGGGGGAGGTAGCGCTGCTCTGCACGGGGGCGGACATCAGCATGTCAAAATTCGGGGCAACCTCCCCCCATAACCATGGATGCAAATCTCATTCTCATTACAAATTTGAGTGTCAAAATTCGGTGCCACACACCCCGCATGGTGGGGGGAGGGAGCAGGGGGCAACTTCCTCCCCCCCAACCCCCCCCGGAAAATAAATAAAAACAACTAACTGAAAGTAGAAATTGTATAAGGGCTTTGACAGGTGTTTTTTCTGAGCGCTTGGGGTGGGAAGGAAGTAATTTAAAACTGTTGCTTCATGGCTGAGTAGGGATTTGAACCCAGATCTCCTAGGTCACAGTCCAGCTCTCTTCTAGCCAATATACTGCACTGGCTCTCCCCAGAGACTCTGAGAAATTGTGCATGCATGTTCCTCTGCTGAAAATTTGGGTGTAATGTTCTGGTGTTTGTATTTAAAGTTCTTTGACAAAGTAATAAATGTAATAATTGTAAGCACAGTAAAATAATAGTAATGAAAAAATTGTTGCTGAGCCATTTCATGCTGGATCCCCCAGGCAGTGCCAGACAGAGGATGGTGACAGGTGGGTGTCTTGCCCCCCTTAAATAAATCTTGGCTGTGCCAATGTCCCTCCCCCTGCCTCTCTTGCTCCATTCTGAATAATAGTTGTGGGGTCCACCGTGGTGTTCAAGGTGTGGTAGGGGTTGCAGGGCCACATGGACAGGCCTCGTCCCTTGATGTCCATGTGTCCAAACTCTTTTGGAAGGGGTTATTTTGGTGTGCATCTGTGGAGCAGAGAAGGGGCCGCGGTGCAATAAAGGTCTCTCCTTGCTTGGAGGGACTCTGTGCACAGACCTTAGTGTGCAAATAGAACTCCTCCTGATGTGTTTTGGACACTGAGGAATGCGACTGCGGTGTATAGTGGCGACGGGAAGTGAAGCTTGCCTGCTGGTCCCAGGACCCTCTCCACATGTTTGGATACATGGAGGAGGCCATGTGAGCCCCGCCTAGTCAACTGTCGAAAGAGACATGTATGCCATTGGCACACACAACTTTCACACTAGAAGGGACATCCCTGTAGGAACGTCGTTGTGGGCAAAGTAGTCTTGTGAAATGAACTTTTTTTTGGTAAACAAATGGAGCACAGCAGCCTACGTTTCTCTTCAAGTAAATCTGATAAATAATACTTTTGCCTATAAAAGCTAATTCCCTACGTTTCCAAGGTGGCACACTTTCTACTGCTGTCGGTGTACTGGGTGCATTTTGCCCATTTGTCTTTGTTGTTCCACTTTCTCCCGTATCCATTGCGACTTTTTCCTCTATTTAAATGAGCTCCTTCTAACAAAAGGCTTGTTTTGAGAAAGAAAACTCCTTGTCCCCATCTCCTCACCCCTACCTTCCTAAGTTCGTGCAGGAATGTCTTCTACTCAGCATGCACTTTGCGTTTCTTGAGGGGTGGGCTGTCGGTCTGGGTTGTTTTGCTGATAGTTCAGCACCGGGTTTTAAATGCCTGGCTAGCTTAACATCCTATACAGCTGCTGCTTTGCTCTAGAGCTGGAGAGAGAAAACTTTTGACCGTAGCTGTAAAACTTTGTTTGTTTTCGTTTCATGTGATCCATATATTTCTTGCTTAGAATGGCCTAAAAGGAATACTTTAATTTGTGGAAGCTTTGGTTTCGTTCCAAACTTTGTTGGCAATGCTTGTGAAATAATTAAAAAGAAGAATGCTCAGAACAAGTGCAGAATACCTTTTCCTGACCTGATTAAGTTCCAGAATGGAAAACAGGGATATCTAACTACTTTAAGCCCCAGAACCTCTCTCTCTCTCTCTTTTTTTGAAAATTAAACTCTATGTATGTTGTAGTCTGGTTCCCTGGATCAAAACGTATCTCTGTCTTTTAACTGAAAGGTGTTACTGTAAATGCTGCTGCTGGGTTTTGGTTGTTTTATCTAAATTACTGGGTTTGGTTGTATTTGAAACTATTTTTCCTGGAGGTAGCTTACGTTAAACTGGTTGTCTTATTGTAATTATGTTGCTATTTTGCATAGATGGGACGCGGGTGGCGCTGTGGGTAAAAGCCTCAGCGCCTAGGGCTTGCCGATCGAAAGGTCGGCGGTTCGAATCCCCGCGGCGGGGTGCGCTCCCGTCGTTCGGGTCCCAGCGCCTGCCAACCTAGCAGTTCGAAAGCACCCCCGGGTGCAAGTAGATAAATAGGGACCGCTTACAAGCGGGAAGGTAAACGGCGTTTCCGTGTGCGGCTCTGGCTCGCCAGAGCAGCGATGTCACGCTGGCCACGTGACCCGGAAGTGTCTCCGGACAGCGCTGGCCCACGGCCTATAGAGTGAGATGGGCGCACAACCCTAGAGTCTGGCAAGACTAGCCCGTACGGGCAGGGGTACCTTTACCTTTACCTTTGCATAGATGCTAACAACCCACTGGTGTAGTTTATTTGATTTTACAAGAAATGTAGACTTGATCAAACACTACAAAAGCTATCTGAGTTGTCAATGCCATCTATGGTGCATTGAGAATTACAACTCTTATCATTTACTCTAATAGTGAGCAGCTGATTTCCCAGTGTTGATCCTTATGTAAACCAAAGTGCCACCATCCACACAAAAGAGGGAAATATCAGCAGTCTTGGGGGAACCCCAAACTTTGCGAAAGTACAACAAATATAGGGAAAGCCCACTGTGGTGGCAGTGGGGAAGCCACCCCAAACTGCCCATTGAGGACTGTGTATTCTCAGTGAGCAAGGCCTGCTAATTGACTGCAAGGGGCAAGTGCAGAAAGTCTGGGAGAGCTAATGGAGTATTCTGGAAAAAGTACATGCTTGGCTGCCTTGAACCCTGAACAGAACACTCCATGCTGCAGCATTTTGTTGCAGGCTTCATTCTAATATGTGTTACAAAATCAGAAGCACCACTCCACTGGCAGTATTAACCTTTGTATATGTGGCATAGTGTAGAGTTAGTGCTTAAAAACTAAGAGAGGTAAAGGTAAAGGGGCCCCTGACCATTAGGTCCAGTCGTGACTGACTCTGGGGTTGCAGTGCTCATCTCGCTTTATTGGCTGAGGGAGCCGGCATACAGCTTCCGGGTCATGTGGCTAGCATGACTAAGCCGCTTCTGGCGAACCAGAGCAGCACACGGAAACGCCGTTTACCTTCCCGCTGTAGCGGTACCTATTTATCTACTTGCACTTTGAGTGCTTTCGAACTGCTAGGTTGGCAGGAGCAGGGACCGAGCAACGGGAGCTCACCCCATTGCGGGGATTCAAACTGCCGACCTTTTGTAATCATATACAAAACCAGGAATTAATGGAATGCTTCCACTGTTTCCATGGCCATTTATAATTGATGCATAATCAATCACATGAGCCAGTGGACTGCATAAAACACAGAGCAGGATGTGTCTTGCTTTCCTAGAGGTCAGGGTGGGAAAATGTCAGTGCCTTTCCCCTCATGGGACTGCTATATTGGAACTCTTACACATCAAGCAAGAAAACTGTAATGTTTCTCCATTCTAGGCTGTTTTTTGTGTGTTTGTGGGGTTGTTGTCTCCTGAAGATTGATACAACAGAAATAACAGAAAAACATGTTTCATAGACAAGATCTATTCACATGGAGGATTTGCAGCAGGGAATAGATATTTCCTTGTTACTCAGACACTTGCTGGGGACAAATGCGGCGGAGGGGGCAGCTGTAGTGAGAAAGCTAAGGTCATTTCTCTGTCCTACTACCAGCCTGCAACACCAACAAGCTTCTTTTGTGCCCCTTTCGCTGCCTGAGGCATGAGGCCTGGGCATCCTGATGGATGGCTGTACACAGTACTTCTAAAAGACTGAAAATGTGCTCCTTTTGTTCAGTGGTAGATCTGGGTCAGGGGAAAAGGATCAGGAAGAGGTGTCATACTGTCTGTTTCAGTCTTCCTCTCTAAAGACCAGAAGCCCATTTCATCCACTATCTTGTTCTCAAAGTGTCCAAACAGAACACAGCCACCATAATTAGTTGCCACTGAGTCCCGTTAGGGAAAAAGGTGGGGTATGCATGAATGAATGAGTGAATGGTAGACTTTTTATTAATCCACGAATTTTCCCAGCCTGCTTTTAATAAAACTATCCAAGTTGGTGGCTATCATTTCACAGTTTAATGATATAGTATGTGAAGAACTGCCTTCTCTTGTTTGTTCTGTATCTTCTAATATTCAGCTGCATTGGATGACCCTGGGTTGTAATGTTAGGAGAAAGAGAGTAAAATATCTCTCTACCCACTTTCTCTACATCACACATACCTTCATCATGTCACCACCCCCCCCTTTTGTAAACCAATGGATGGTGATGATGGGAGCCAAGAAGACATTGATCTACCTGGCCTCCCTCTT